TGCGGACCTAAAAACTAGCGGCACCGAAGCGATGTTCTCCGACTGCCTCCCTCTTTCCAACTTCGAAACGCCACTGTATTATTATCATGCCCAGCACGATCATTCCACTCCGCCTGTTACACCACTCGCCTTGGCTGCTCTATATAAGCTACCCATTTCGTCCTTCCGAATGCTGTCTCCTACTATCCTCAAGCCACCAGTTTGCGAAACCAAAACTTATACGCGCAGATGGTGATGAGTGCGATTCCAAAAACTTTGAAACACTGGCCAATGTTCTCGCCTGTCCTTCCGCTCGCTGGGCAGATCTGAAATACAGATTCCGAGGACCCCATGACCAGCACCGGCTCTTGCGCTCTTACTACTTTACTTCTGCCTCTTGGAAGAATGAGAACCTGATGGCATCTGTCTGGATGATCTTCTCTTCCTTCTGCAACCTCTTTGCCTACAAAAGACCAAATTTCGATTCAGAAAGGGTCATGTGTGTGAGCCCAGAAAAGCAAATCGACTACCACATGTTTTCGCCTGCCTCTCTTCCAAATCCAAAAAAATGCCTAACCTTCGCTATGGCTGGTGAGATCCCGCGCTCTTCTTCGCACGTCACGGCGCGGAACTTGCATATAAATACCTCAGCCTTCCAGAGGTTTCTTGCCTTTCATTCTTACCGACTACTTCTCGGAGTATACCAAAACCGAAAAATATCCTGTTGATGAGTGTGCGCCAAAGTAGAAGGACGACGATCTCATGTTCTTGCCTGTCGCTCTCATCTAAGTCCAAAGCTATTACTGAAAAGCATCATGGTCGGCACGAACTTGCGTCCTGCAGACTTGCTTGACATGTATCAAAAGCCAAGAGGTGCAGTCTCATGGCCTGAGAGGCAGAGGTATCTCGCCCTGCCATGGTGTTGCCGCTGAATATAAACATATCTTCTCCTGAACTTTTGACTTCCTTCCTTACTCTATACCTCGGCGTGCAATACTAAAAATATGAAGACGAGAGAAGCATGAGTGTGCACCAAAACTCCAGGACGAGCGCCGCATGTTCTCTCTTCTTTCTTTCGCTCGCGTAGTGCATCCTAAAAGCGTATGGAGCCAACCTGATGGTTTTCCTGCTCTTCCTTTCTTTCCTACCATACGACGACACCGCGGCTGGACACGGTCGTTCATCGACAGTCGCCTCAGAGCTTCTACTTCATACCCTCGGCCTGAAGGTCTGTCATACCAAAAGCTCCAAACGCTCTCGCATATGACTGTGCAAAAAGATAAAACACTGGGCATACAATGTCTGCGGTTCTCTTCCCGCTTCTAAAATGTACGCAAGCACCGAAAAGCCGCCACACAAACTCGTTATGGCTGCGCAAATTGGTCCCACAACCTTGCCATACTGCGACGCTACAGATAGACATAAAAGCCTCCCGCTTGCTGTTCCAAGTCCCGCACTTCACGCACTCGACCTCTCTGTCCAAATTACCCTAAAAGAGCTATTCGACAATGTGATGGAGCTTGCTCCAAATTGAATGCGAGTACACTGGTGTCTTTGCCTGCCTGTCATCCCACGAAGTGCAAAGCACCACACATCAAGACCAATGGCTTCCACAACACACTTACGTTTTTTGTGACTATGAAACTCCAGTTGCCAATCAATATCTTCTCACTACCGCTACTGCTCTCTTCCTCCTTCAAACATACTAGCTAGTTTATAAGACTAAAAAAGGCTTCTGAGGAGTGTATGGGTGCGCATCAAAAGTCTTGGACAACTCTTCCATGCTCTTGCTCGCCTCTCATATTGCAAGGTTTCAAAGAACGACAGCTTTTGTTTGATGGTCGGCACATCTTTCCAAACTGATTCCATTAATTCAATATCCCACTTACGAAATTGGATATCTAAATACTTATGTACTCGCTAGTCCTGTTCTCCAGGGGCCCTTGAGAGGTGTATTCATACCGCCTGGCGGGTACGAGGCTGTCTGGGTTCTTATATGAAGCTGCTCTTGGTGCTGTGACTGTCGGATTGATACTGATCTTGGGGTGCAAAGCGATATGGAGAAGAACATGTATTTAGCTACTGAACGTTGAACACGTGCTCATTCACGTCTGCTATCCATTCGTTTCTCGTTCTCTCTCATTTCTAGTTCTTCATCCCATCATTTACGTCCCAAAATTCGGTGGCTAGTGGTGTCCAAGGCACGCACTTCTTTCCGCTGCAGGTATTGGTCTGGCAAACCCGGCATATCTTATTCGTAGATGTATGCAATAGCGCACAGTACTGCGAAAATATGATCGTCGCGCGACCAGCTACTACCATATTACTTCATCCGTTGGTTCATTCCTAAGCAAGATTGTTTGTTTCGGAAGGTAGCCTGCCATATTCTCCCCCTTGACTGGTACCGCCACGATCTCCGTATGGGTGCGGCCACGGGATGGTAAGGTCATCAGTCCGCGCACGTAGTAGTAATGAGGCCACTGATGACCCTGGAAGTCCTTCGCCATGTCGAGATATCCCGGAGTCACGGTAGGGCTGTTAGCATAAATCTCGATCGGCGAACTTCGCGCTGCTAGGTATTGTAGGACCTCGGTTGCCAACTGGGAGTATTGTACCGCACGTTCAACTGGATTGCCGAATTCAACATTCGACCACGTTGCTAGCAAATGCGTAAGGCGCAAGCTGCGAAGCAAAGGAAAGCGGGCTATTACGTCCAAAGACTTTGCAAAGTTTTGTTCCTGAGGAAACAGATATGGTACACCACATGTCATAGAGCGGATATCGATAGCAGCGACATGAACACCGAGCTCCTGTATCTTTGGACATCCAACTAGAAGTGTCTCGAGCTCGGTAGCCGTGTAGCAGTGGTTCCTGGCTTCGGATAGCGGAAGGCGACTTGGACGATACAACGGATCCAAGTGGAGAAGTCGTAGAGTTTGCCCGTGTCGACACATCTTCTCCACATTGACATGCTGAGGATTTCGGGTCGCGACAAAGAGCCTCTCCAGGCCTGAAAAGCATCCGATAAACTGATTTAAGAACTTGAATAAATCTGGTTCTTCGAAAGATTGTGTAAAACACAGCGACTTCAAAGCGAAGCTGTCCAGTGCGGAGTATTCGATGCTCAAATGCTCTAAAAAGGACGAGACATTGATACAGTAGCTTATCTCAAGATCTGTAAGAGACTGGAGATCAGTGATCTTCCCCAGATGGTAAGGGCCGTCGAATAGGTTGAGGTACGACAGGCGAAGGTGTCGAAGCCTCAGAGGTATGAAAGTACTAGGACATTTCCACCTTTTAAGAGAAGCCAAGTCTCGTAATTCGGGATTGGATGGCTTGAACCCGTTGTAGTGTGCAATATTAAGGGTCTCCAAAGCTGGTGTATTGAGAAGCCATGCATTAAAGTCGTCATCTTTGGCGGGTGTAATGGTCAACTTTCGAAGCTTATTCAAGTTGCCTACAAGGAAGCGAGAGTCCGGACGGCTATGCTGCAGTCCAGGGTGCTGATATGTAAGCTCTTCAATCAGATTTTGAGAGCGAATCAAAAGGCCCAAGATCCTGGGGTTCCCAGTCGGTAGCTCCACGGTGCGTAATGTGTTTTGGGCCAGGACAGCGATCAGCTGCAGCACCTTCTCGGAGACATCAAAAGACGTAATCTTAAGATTCTTGACGTTATCGAGAAATCCATTAGGTGGAGATAACAGTAGCGCGTCGAAATCGCGACCTCGTTCCTGGAGATGGGAGCTGAAAGTCTTCCAGAGCACAGTCGAACTAGACTTTCGCCATCGTTTGTTGGCCAGTCCAAGGTTCTTGAGCGCTTGGCCTGGCAACTGCGTCTGCATTAGCATCATGACAGTATTAGATCTTGCTGATAGTTTACCAGCTCGCACACCTGGAGCCGCAGCTCCTGTGGTATCTTTCCAATGTAACCTTGCACACTAGGTACTGGGGCCATGTCGAGTTCGCCCGATGCTTGCGGCATTTTGGTTGATGAATTCGCTGGTTATGGTGCAGTCCAGGGTAAAGTCGTGTGGTCAGTTGATCAGTCGATGAGTAGTAGAGCGGGAGCAGGTAAGGTTCTTATTCGATAGATGCGCGCGTTGGTCCCTGCACCAGCAGGAGCGTGGAATGAGTGAAATTGAAGTCAGCCACCAAAGGCTGCGGCGTGAGCAACGTGAGTAAGTTTCCATTCACTGAAGACCTGAATAATCAGTTGTAGATTGCATACCGAAGTTAGTGAAGGCGATGCAGTCACTGCTTCATGTACCTAGGTAGTTCCAGTCGGGCCCAAGATAAAGCGCGTTCGAAAGACATCATGATGGAAGTGCTTGCCAGCACTAGATCAAGCGACCAATATCTGGTCATATCATTCCTCAATGAGCCCCATGCATAGCTGTTGGAAACACCACGGCCCATCTCCTGGTAGCGTTCGAGGTATGTCAGGTCAACAGGTACGGACGGCTGAACGAGACGCGTCGCAAGATAAAAGGATCACGCGACGGTGGTAGACTAAGAGACGCCATATAGATGAGCTAAGACGCGTCCATAGATCTGCGCGATCTGATGAGAGCTGGCGGAGACTGTATGGTGCGAGGTGATGGTGGAAGAACAGGCGTCTCGGGGGCTCGGAGATTGCCTTCAGCAAGCACCCGTGCGCCACGCTATCCACATCTGGAAAAGCATGACGCGTGATGTCATTGCGAGCTGTGCGCCCAAAACTCATCACGATACTTCGCGCATTACGTAGGAGTTGACTCTGGGGGGACTGGACATGGAACTTGTGGTATTGAAGTGTTTTGGTGCTATTCTCCTAGCTATACGGCATCACGCGGTATCCGCTACACTCTAGAAGCAGACATGATGCGCCCATAATCTCCCGAACACCAGCTGCGCGACAAAGACACGCATGTTTCCTGACAGGTATCAAGCACCCCAGGCCAAAGGATGGATTAACTTCCATCTCGTGGCTTCGCCACCATAACAGACCGTGAACATCCTCTGGCCACCTTGTCTCCAGCCGCTTACTTCCAGAAAAGCATAGCCTCATGTTGGCCTTGTTCTAGCATGGGAACGGCAACAGCGCGCGAAATCTGCTTTCCTCCGCGCATTGCTACTGTCACTATTCCGCGACGGTAGGAGAAGTCGGGAAATGAATGCCCATTCATGTCCATCCAGCCCGCCGACGAGTATGTATCTTCTGGCCAGTAGCCCGGACCAAAGGCAAGAAGCTCGATGGGCGATTCGTGGTCTGCAAAAAACTCCATGATGACATTGGCTACTTGTTGATAGCGGAGTTGATGTCTGTGGATGATGTAGTCATATGTCTCCTCCTGCTCCTCATTTTGTGCTTGAAACAAAGGATGGGTAATACGGAGATTGCGGAGGTTGCGTAGTTGGGTGAGAGGTAGCTATGATGAAGTTAGTGTGACATTCACGACCAACGTTGGCGTCATCGCGAAACACTTACTAAGAGATCGGAAACTTTCACATCCTCCTGTAAACCTCGTCCGGTATCGTGCACATTGAAAGTGTCATATGCAGTATAGTCTCCAAGGTCCCAATCAACAAGATTAAGACTGAGCGCTTCAATGCGCGGACAACTTGCCACGAGCCTCTCAAGCTCTTGAGGCGTATACCGTTCGACATTTCCCGTATAGAGACCTCTGTACTCGTAAAGATTGGGGAAGTGATCAATGTGCAGGTAGCGCAGAGATTCTCCGTGGCGGCAGATGCTACCAATAGACGGGCGTATGGCCTTGATTGTGGTGATGCAGAGAGTCTCGAGTGTCGGAACGGCTTCAAGAAAGTGTTCGATTTCGGTGTTGAATGGCTTCCCTCCTTCCAGACCGTTCAATTGTCGGAAGATGACTGAGTTGAGTGCGGGCTTGTCGCATTTGAAAAACTCATCGGCGAGGCACTGTACGGTGCGCGGCATATCCGAACAGTTACTCAGAAGCAGACTTTGTAGGCTACTCAGGTTGGTCATACCGCCGAAGCAATCCTCTTGCTTTTCGATAAAAGCAGAGTGGATCTCGATATTGCGTAGATCCAAGAGCACTTCCAGTTTTGGCATACTCCAGGAGTAGGGTCTTCCGTTATGTGCATCTTGAGCCTTGGGTTTGATTGCGAGTCTTCGGAGAACGGGAGTGAAAGCCAAACATTTGGCATCGGCATGGCGATCTGCTTCTTGTTGTAGAAGTGTCAAATCTTCCAGCTTGTCTAGATTTCCTTTGAGTAGCTTGTCGTGCAAAGTCGTTGAAGGGAACGAAAGTTTCGATAGCTGGGATTGAGTTTTGAGTATAAGACCAACCATACGTTCGTCAAAATTTAGCGTGGTCGTGAACGCTCGAAGGCTGTTTCGAGGTAGCGCGCACAGAAGCTCAAGAAAACGAATTGAGATATCCGCAGTGGTGGGGAAATGACCTTCCTCATAATTGTGTCCGTGAATATCCAGGTCCTTGATCATGTCTAAGATATCATCCGAACGAAGTAGAGCATCGATCGTGCTGCCCTCCCAGAGATTGGTAGTGAAGGTGTTCCAAAGTACTGTGCCAGCTACAGGACTCCATGCTTTGTTGACCAGACGAGCATGTGCTTGATCATCGACCGGGAGCTATAGTTCCATTAGCAACTGCACGTCACATCGCACAAAGATAGGAAGAGTGTATAGCTGCTTACAAGTTCGCAAATCATATGTCTAAGCTCAGTCGGCAGGTCCTTCGTATGGTCGAGCATGGCAGGCGCCATCATCGTAGGAGCTTGATACGCTTGTCGGTTGTGCGGTTCGCAAGGAAATGTATGGTTGAAAGTAGCCCAGTTATGTGAGTAGAGATAAGATCAGTGCTCTGGCGGTAGAGAAGTCAGGGGAACGAGCAACGCTACTTCTATATTTGCAGGTCCGTTTTCACCAGGCAACGGACGTGCACAGGTCTGCTGCTGAACGCATTGACTCCTTGCTCTGGTGAAAGTACCGAGTCTTGACAGATAACGAAATCCGTTCTACAGGAGGGCGCTTCGAACGCCCTTTGCCGAGGACCTTGGCCAGGACACTAAGCGGCGTTGAGGACTGCACTTCGAGATTCCAGCAGTGAAGTTATCAATACCGTTGTCTCTTTAACTGCTGTACTTTGTGATCAGTGTCAAGATTTATGGATGCTGCCCGGTTTTGATCTCGAATGGTGAAAGGAAAGATCGATTAGAAGCTATAGCAACACTAGACGCGCTGGCACCAGGCGCTCACTTCACAATCTTCTATCGATAGTACGGGTCTAAACTGCAGAAAAAACGTGCGCATTCCAGATGTAATGAAACTGTTGATAGAATTGCGATACCTTGATTCGTTCAAAAGCCTATCAACATGCTCCTCATTCAAGTCTTGCTGTAAACCAGGAAGTGGTCAAATAGCTGTCGGCCGTGAAAGTATCCTCCGTATACCGTAGTCGGCGTCTGCGTCACAACCTCGGTAAAATTGTTTCCCAGGAGCGCTTTGACTTGCGCACGAACTTGGTCGAGAAGTTCAATATCCAGTATCTCGCCAGCAAAGTCATCAAGATGGAAAAGCTCAATTTCGAGCGTTTGTAGGTCCGTGCACATCCGGATGAATTGACTGTAGGGGAAATGCACTTTGACACGAAATTCCACCCCGCGGTACTGCATCTCGTCGCGTCTGAAGTCGATATCGGGGATTGCAAGAGCGACTTTGAGCAAGTGGGTTTGCGGGGCATTTCCTACGTGATTAACGAGCAATCGAAGCCACTCATCCTCATTTCTTGCGAATGTAAGATGTATTGTGCCATCATATCGGTGAATGATCGAGAACGTATGGACTGGACGTTCGAACGGCAGGCGAGCGAATGACATGGAGTTGGCGAATTTGGGGCTCATAATCATCGTGTCTGGTGCATCTAGCCGATGGTTGCGAACGTCGATAGATTCTATCGGCCAGAGGTTCCAATGCGCCTGTTTCCGGAATACATCAATAGCTTCGTCTAGGAATATCCTACTCGTCAACAGCCAGATAGGTAAACAGGCGTGTTGACCTGGACGCCACGGAGGTTGTTCGTATCTGGCTGCGTACCAAGCGTCCCGAGTTGTCAAGTCGCTTTCGTCCAATACCGTTCCATCGTAGTAAGCAAGGATACCAGTCTGACTTTGTGTATGATAGGCTGCGATGCGGTTGTTCATCTTCCAGAGTTCGTCATAGACCATGTTGCGAAGTTCTGGCGGAAGTTCGAAGAACTCCAATATCATATCCGGGCTTGTCGCGCGAGCTCGAGCTTTGAGATTCGCTCTCTTGCCTCTTTTCCCTTTGCTCTTCGCCATGTGAGAATTCCAGCGGAAGTTGTACGTCAACTGAGAGGTGTAGGAACGAGCTACTATTGCGAGGTAACTGCAACCGCTTTATACAGCTCACGGGAGGTTTGGCGCCAACGCAGCAAGCGGACAAACCTTGCAACATATAGTCACGAGGACCGCAGGCCGAATGATATGTTTCTCATGCATTCTGGGCCGTGTATTTTCCCTTGACATACTTGCATGTGTTCTCAGTACGATGTCCACGTTTCATGACCGAGCGCATTGGATGTCTGAAGCATCAGGCAAGCCATCGACGCAACACAGGCCGTGTTCTGAAAGCCTTATGCTTACACCCCTGTTTCTCCTTGTATGTATTGCGGATCGTGAGGTGCAAGTGATCTACGTGATTGGGGGTCATCGGTTTGCGAAGGACGAGTAGAGGGGCCGAGGCTTCCGAGGTTGTACTGCGATGCGACATTAACTTCCACCAATACAAGCTGCAATGATACGCCGCCCGCAAGCTATGTTGCTACAAGACTTCTCCGACCCTCTTGTACGATGCATGTCTTCATTAAGTCGTTCTGCGCGTGGGTACTCAGTCCATTCCAGGGTTAAGACGACCGGTGCCGTGATGATGCCCAGGTGTCGTGATGCGCTATAAGGATCCTGGTGGTTGTGTTGCGCGTAGAAAATGGTACATATTGTCCACGAAGCGTGTACACCACCGTACGCAGAAATGCGCGTGTAGGATGCGTGTAGGTGTGAAGTACCTAGGCAGGTTGAGCAACTAGATGTGAGAGATCGCTGGGCGCGCGAGCAGCCCAGGATGCTAAGTGCCAGATTACATAAGACGGGAAGATCGTCATGTCGCAACCTCACTTCTCCCACCAAAGGCTCTTCTTTAGCGCTGCTTACAAGTACTTCAATTCTTCGGGTGCCCTCACAGTAAGATAAAGCGAACACTTTTCGATATACTAAGACCCTGAGTAGGTATCACAGGGCACGATCCGTCCATGATCTGGGAATCATGCTGAATATGTCTGCAGACGTTCGCGCGTAATCATCGTACCTATTATGCCCACAGTCATGCACCCAGTAGCCGGATTCGCGACATGTGCAACGAAAACTAAGAATGAAACCTGGGTCTGCGATAGATTGCGTAGTCTAATGCGTTCCCCATCAAGTATGTAATGTTCAGGCTAAGATCAGGGTGTAGCATCATCGTCTTCCAAGATACTGCCTAGGTACCGAGAACTTGCTGCGCAGCCTTCTCAGGTAAATAAGCACTCGAATCGACATATCGTTGCATTGGATGTGAGCAGTCGCTCCTGCGATTCCAGGAAGAGTTGGATAGCCCCACCAGTAATCTGTTCCGCCACAATCTCGACCCCACAGTCTCAAAATTCTCATTGCAGTTCTCGCCGGCCACCACCCTCCAATTGTGCTGTCGGTATACAGGTTTGCTACCTCGCTTGCGTCGCATGATCGCAATATATGGGGTCAAAATGTGCATTCTTGCATCAAAACAACAATCTTCAATAGTATAGTGGTCAGTATTTCCGCTTGTCATCTCGGCCATCTGGCTCTTGACAATTGCGCGGGAGACCTGGGTTCAATTCCCAGTTGGAGAGCTTCCAGTCAACTTTCTTTTTGCCGTTTTTTTTTTCGCCCATCCTCTTTCACTCTGAGCTCGCGATGAAGACACAGCTATGGGCAGCAGTCATTTCTTTTTGCAAAACTACATGTGATAGACACCTACAAGACTATAGCTAGGCGGCTACTCCCCCGGTACCGTGCTTACGCTTGGAGCGCGCTCCTGCGCGTCGAGCCCTTTCACATTGGGATAGTGAAAACCACAACGCCGCTCTCACGGTGATATCGCACTACCGAGCCTTGGCATTACACTTGGTCGCTCAACCGCCCTCGCCCTCGCCCTCACGGTTGCATACTTTCGATAGCCCAAAACATCGCGGACACCTCGCGGTCCACCCAGATTACCGGCGCTCACCGACACATTGATCAAAGCATAACGCGAACACCCTGAGCCAAAATTGACGCCGGAGACTCAGACTTACTTGTTCAATCGCAGTACAGTCTGCAGACCTGTTTAGGCTTCTACGAGACATGGCGACAGATCACATTGGCCGACTGCCCGCGGAGCTGAAATGCGCAGTCGTGCGCTATCTGGTCCTCAAGGATCGGCAAGCAGTCTCACTCATAAACAGGGATTGGGCCGTCGTCGCGATGCCCATTATGTGGGAAATCTTCACCACGGACCTACTCGTCAAGACTGGTCCAGGCTCACGAAACGTACTCGGTTTAGCATCCCCCTCCTCGAACATCGTTAAGCACGTCCGCAAAATCAACCTTCTGGACCGACCAAACGCGTTTAAAGAAGCGGACCAACTACCACAATTGCTGGCCGCCATCCCTCGCGGTCAACTATGCGGCTTCAATGGCAGAAGCGGCGTGCCTATCAGTACGCTCGAGCTCCTACTCCAGATACACCCGAAGCTCGAACATTTTATCATCCCTGGTATCCAGATGTCGCAGATATTACAATCGCCGTGGACATGTTCATCCTTATCAGGCCTCACCGGGATGGTAGTCTCTATAGATACTCTTGCCCCACGAGAGTTTCGGGAGCTATGGGTGCGATGTCCTAAGCTGACACACATCCATATGACGCAGAGCGGAACTCCCATGTCGACATTGCAGGAAGGTCATTTCGGGGCCGATACAACATCTGCAGTCTCGCGAGGTGGATCAGACACGACCCAGTCGGACACTGTCAGCTTTCAATTAATCGGCCTTTACATCAGTGCCCTCACCCTTCCTGCGACTTTCGGCACCATGTTCCAGCGGATAGACATTTTTGCCCTCACCGAGCTCGTTCTGAATCATACAGGACGCGTCGCTGAGCTGCTGGAAGCTATGTGCTCTGAATTCCAGAAGCGAGAACCCTCTCTGAGGAAGCTGCGATTTCTCCTGGTGGATGAGGCCGCGTCAAATGACATCCTCTCACAGCTACAGTTGTTTCTACACTCTTTCCGCGGACTGCGCCAGCTACATTATTCGTGCGACAATTGCGTCAAGATCGATGTCGATGGCATCACCAAGCACGGAGAGACACTTACGAACCTGCTCGTCGTCAATGGGGGTATCCACCGGCAAGACGCCGCCAAATGTATGAGCGCAGAAGATCTGTGGAAGATCGCTATCGCATGTCCAAGCCTCGAGCAACTATGCCTCAACCTATACGAGATCGATCCAGACACACCAGAAGGAGACTTCCTCGGCCCGAAGGCATCTGTACTTTCAGAATCGACAGAGTTCGAGAAGGCTTTGGGTGCTATTGCCAGCATGAAAGCGCTACGGCTACTACGCTTGACGAACCCGCCCAACTACCGCAAAGCTTACCACCGCCAAGGAGAGTTCATGCGCTTCTTCCGTCGATCTCTTGAGAGCGGAGAGCAACGCTACGCGTTCCAAGCTCGAGCGGACAGTATCGTACGCTACGTGGGCGATCGGGCATCGAACCTGAGGCTTCTCGCGTTCTCTCCCATGGAGTTGCTGACAAAGGCTGCCACAGCGGACAAGAACGGCCATGTTTGGCCCGACTACTTCTACACCTGCGAGCGGATGAAGGGAAACCGAGGGGCGGAAATGTCAATCGCAAGGGCCGTAAGGGACTGGAAGGCAGCGATGCCGGAGGCTACTATACTAAACGAGGGATGAGTTCGATCATCCTGGAGCCTACATCGGCCTTGATTCGACTATTTTGCATGTTTTCATCTCAGTGCAAGCTGCAGATCTGTTCAGGATTTTCCGGGTATGAGGCGATGCAGCGACGAGCTTGCGCATACGTATGCAGTGTACAGTAGTCATGAGAGACTATCCAAGTCAAATACCTTCGCAATGTCAAATGCGCTCGAATGCATCACGATAGCTATCAGAAACATTGCGCGTCAGTGTATTCCATTCGCCCGTGTCGTACCTCTTCTGATCTGTGGCTGCAGGTGGCGTTGCCTGTTGCCTGATGCCTGGAGTGAAACTGGTTTAGCGTAATGCATAAAGGCAAGTACAACCTTGGAACTGCGCAATCCCCATATGAACATTGCGCCTGCCTGTCCATTTTTCCCCACCACCCCGCCACTCGCATTAGCATTATGGCAAACCTCCTTGCACTACCAGCAGAGATCTTGCGCACAGTTCTGATACACGCCGTCGACGTCCGAGGTCTCAAGCGAGGGTTACGATTGAGGCTGGTGAACAGTATGCAACAGCGATTAACGCGTAGCTGCAACGCAGACTGCTAATTCTTCGGCAGAGGAGTTCTCTCAACAAGTGAAGGATGCGCTTCAAGAATCCGAGCTACTGGACGACGTACATGGATATCGCTTTGGCTTCTCCCACTCGCCCGAGTTTGTCGCCTTTTGGCAGACATTCCTCACCAACAAGATCATAGGGAAGAAATGGGCCCATGTGGAGATATGCGAACGCATATATCGCGCCGCCGAGCGTCTTCGCCGGATTAGCCATCCTCAGGAAACTAACGAGAAAATACTGCACACGATCTTGCGACAATATATCCATGCGTTCTGTTGCAATCCAGTGCGCATATTGTCGACAGCACGTTCTAAAAACCCAATTCAGTGTCGGATGTACGATCAAGCATGCCTTCTGGAGATGGCCATACTCAACAACTGTCCAGAAGGAGTAAATTTTCTGCTCAATGACCCTATCTTGGACGAGATCATATCGCACTGTCTCGCTCCCTGGTCGAATCCGTGCGGGACGCGTAAAAATGGACTAGTTACAATACACTGTCAACAGGACCTTGCCTCTCTTGCCGCTGAGAACGGGAACACGGCGTTACTCGAGAAGGTTTTCCTGCATCCGAGTTTCCAACAAGAGTCAAGATATCATCGACATGAAGTCGTTGAGGCTGCATTGAGAGGGGGCCATTTGGACGTAGTGAGGTTCATCATGGAGCCGCGTTGGGACTTGCCCGGAAAGGGGCCATATCGCACTCACAGTTTGTGTCAGCATACACTGGTGTCCGGGGTCTTCAAAAGTCCATCGGTCGATTTCGTCACTCAGCTCCTTGGCCTGATAGCCTCTCGTCCAATGAAAACCCATGGTATCGAAGCCGTCCATCCTGGACACGACACACTCTTGTGCCTCGTCGCACGGAAGAGCCCGCAAAGAGTCGATGTGGCAGAACGACTTCTCGAACAAGGAGCTTTACTTAAACAGAAGGCGCATGTCAAGAGACGAGGAGCTGAAGCCTCCTACACTGGTTCTGACAGTCTGCTTGAACAAACCATCAAAGGTGGCAACGAGAAGATCCTTCGCCTGCTTCTGAATCGTGGTGCGGATGCCAGGGTCCTTGACAACGATACTTTGGAAGTAGCTGTAAAACGAGGGCGTCTGGATATAGTGCGCATGTTGGTAGAGAACGGTACGCGTGTCACACCGCGGCTCCCATCGAGTGGTCGCAAGGAGCACTGGAGGTGGACAGAAGACAGGCTGATGGCGCACGCCGTGCTTACGGAGAACGAGGCACTGTGTCGATACCTGGTCGAACGTGGAGCTATCGTCAATGAACATGCCTTGTGGGCGGCTGCCGATGCATCGCTGGTATCAATGGTTCGATTTCTGGTCGACGTTGGGGCCGAGATCAATGAGCAGATGATCGAACGCGCGAAACGTTATAGTCATCCAGACGTTGCGACCATACTGCAAGCACAACACAACAGCACCTAAAGTTATCACCCTCCTTCCAGAAGCGCGTTCATCCGCTCCCACCTCCAACCACATCTCGCGTGCGCCCGTGCCTCCGGCAAATCAACCGACCAAGCGAGAAAAGCGAAAACGCACGCCCACCCCAGGAAACTTCCGCGTGCCAAAGGACCTACATCGGGCGCCGAACCCTGCTGGCGATTCAAAATTCAATAGCCCATCAACAAAAAAACGCGTCGCGCGCACAGAAGTCCTTGCACAGCTGGTTAACTCAAAAGATTTCTGAACACGTAACTTTGGCGAGGAAAGCTATCGAACAATTAGGTATTTGCGCAGGGCGGTGAGAAGAGTCCCGAGGTCATCAAGCGCGCAATGCCCATGCGGATATGTAATCGTCAGATCTGACATCTTAGCACCGACTGTGTCCGAGTTAAGGGAACTGGGAAACCGCTGCTGAGATACGTGCTGTCAGCGAGATTCGAGAAGACATGCGAACATGGAAGTATCCTGGTTTGCGCTGGTGAGCCGCATGGTCCTGGTAACAAATTGAGCATTGTGGTCACGAGGCCTAATGTAGATTTGACAATACGACGTATCCCTCCTTTCGTGGCGCTCGAACCTTGAACGCGCCTTTTCACCCAGCCAACGTACGTGACGGTGACGTTTTCCATCGCGCATCACGCGCTAGATGGCGGGATGAACGTTTACTACCGTGGTGGTCTGTTACGGCTGTTGTTTCTCCTCTGTCCAACTAACCACACACACGGGTATCTCCAATTCAACTATATTTCCCACCTCCCCTCTCCATCTCCCATAGCATGTCACCCACTCAAATGCACATCATCCTTCTCATCTCCCATCCCATGCAACACATTCATAATCACTCCTCCATCTCCTTAGCATAGAGCCCGTTCCGCTTTACGCCCACCTCCGAAGCTAGCCAGCGGCTGTTTCATCTTATCCCTGACCAGCACACACGGCACTAGCAGAAAGAACAGACCCATGATGGTCCCTGCGTCAAATTGATCATTGGAAAACTGACTCACGGGCTAACGACGTTTGTTTCGAAACTAGCTAGGGTGCTGCGACAGGCTGTAGCGAGTCTAGTGATGAGTGGGGAATTCGAGTGATGGGTGCTGGGTGCTGGGATAAATTGGTGGGTTGGTAAGCTTGGTACTTGGATGATGATGCGGTCGGTGATGGAGGGAGAGGAGAGAGGAAGGGAGAGAGAGGTATCCTTGGGGTGATCATAGAATTTTGCGATACGATGGTGGATGGTTGTCGTGCGTGAGTATTCGCCCGAGATGTTGTTGTCAAGGACGGTGCGTAACTGTACTATTGCTTTCAAGATCATCACCATGATGGGACGTTGTCGCATGAGATGGATATTCTGTCCATGTTGACATCCTCCACATCCCGAATCACACTCATCACTCAAGACCCTCAAGATCACCAACTTCACATCTATCACATTTACATATCACACTTGCCAACCCCCCGAAGTCCCTCCGTCTTGTCCTTGTCTATCGTTGATGCGATTTGCCCGCCAAACGCGGTGTTCGTAACTACCTAGGTAGATAGTCTCGTGACGCCGTACCATCCTCGCTCAATCCCGCTTTTTCATCAATCTGTTACATAGGGCTGCATATTCCGATCTCAAGTAGATCTACGATTTTCGCGCTCGTGCAGGCATGATGATACAAGAAACAGTGGGGAGAGAGAGAGAGATCAACAGCATCCGCGGAGGAGCAAGTTTGCGATGACGAAATGATGGACAGGAGAGGTGAATATCGCAATTCCTCACCCTACCATGTTGAGAGGTGTGATGCGCGTCGTTGCTATTGTCGCGTGTGTATTGGGTGGAGAACAGGGGAGAGCGGGGGCATGATTGGCATTGCATACATACGTGTAGTCTCACGTGTGCGGTGTGAGGTTGAATCCGGTGGTCTTGGTACCTAGGTATACCGGGGGCTAGACTGTCTCGGTGTCTTTTCTGCGCATTCGTTGTCTGAGGTACATGTATGAAGCACACCGACTTGCAAGACTAGAAAATACGATGTGTTGTCGTCCAATGGACTTCCGTGGTCTAGTCGGTCAAACTAACGTATTGTCGCGTGTCACCAATCAACGCATGCAAACCACGTAGTCACGACACCGAAACCATCATAGTTTGTAAAATCGGTGCAAAAATTGAACATTCTTATTGTGGCAGCTAGGGTAAAGTGCGTCACTGTGCGTGAGCGCTACTCCGAATCAACTGTTGTCCTGCCTCTCTCCATCGCCGATCCACTAGACATTTGCGCGTGCTTAACAGAAATTAACACACAACTCTCAACAAATCGAAAAAGGTATTTCCTCCACATTCGGGATATGCCAAAACAAGAACCAAAAAAGATCCACCGCCTCAAAAAGGAGTCTCGGTTTCAGTGGCGAAGTAGAAAGAGAGATCAAAAAAAGGAAAGGAAGAAAAGTGAGAATGGTCATGAGACATGGTGTGTTTCAAGACGGCCTCAGCCACGTATAGCAAAACAGTTGCTTTGCCGAAAATGCCCATCATCCTTGAACTCATATGAACATAATCTCTCCAGAATAGACTCAAACTCAAGGTTTGAGAAGATGGTAAAAGGAAACAACATATGGAAATGGCGGTGCGTGCGTGTGTCTGGGTATAACCCTGCGGGTCTGAAATTAGACCGCTGGCGCTTTTTACAAAGACGTATTGGAATCAAACATTGCGAATACGAAGGGGTAATAAGTTGCAGTGTTGAAAGCGAAGCTGCATGGCTGAAGAATAATAGTGGTAAAGCGAGAGTGATGTTGCGCCGTAGAGATGAGAATAAGTTGCAAGTTTGTCGCTGAAATAGTAATTATCGAGATCAAAGCCGAGGCCGGGTATCATCATGAGTGAAATAGATCCCAAGCTCTTGCGCACAGTCCAATGAATTCTTCCTTCTTCTTGAGTTGAGTTTCTGGTGAGTCCCGTCCGGCTCCGA